AACCAGATGAGACAATAAAATTCATTAATAAAAAAATTTTTTATTAAAAAATTTTTTTAAAAAAAAAATTAAAATCCGGGTTGGCGGGTCATGGGAGGTCAGTTGGTGATATGAAAACCGAAAGTATAAGTTTGTGTGGCCTTATCTATCCTTACTCTAATAACAAAACAGACAGGAATATAACCACCAATAATTTCATTAGTATCTTTAATCTTAACAACTTAAACAAAAATTGCATAATTCAAAATAAATCTTTATTTTTATTTTTACATATTAATGAATATTTTTCATATTTACCAATGAAATTAATGTAAATAAAACAATTTGTTTTTGTTTTGTGACCTGGTTTGCTATTCTTGTTTTTATTTGCTAATAAGTAGTCTTTATACTAATTCTAATTAATGTAGATAAATACTACCCGACCCTCATACATGATCTCACAGCGATATGAGGGTTTTTTTGAAAACCCATCGTGTCTACGTATTATTTTTAGCTGATTTTTTGTTAGTTTATAGCCTGTCGGACGATAGCTGTATCTTCTGTTTTTGAGATAAGAGTGGCCTGTCAGGATGACAGTCACAAAATTTTTATGTATAATATTTGTTTTAGTCTTAGAGTAATCGAAGGGAGATTTTAGGTTTTTTTCCAAATGGAATTATCTGGGTTTTTTTGCCCCCATCCCTTGCGAGGTACAATAGCTTTAAGGAACTATCAGTTTTTGGGATACTGTTGATACTTTCGAGTTCTGCACTGTTAGTACGTATAGCACATAAGCGGAAGGGACAGATAACCCATAGTTGCTTTTCATCTGTAACACCCCTCGATAAGGGACAAAAAAAAAACCTCCATATAACGTGAAATAATGCAATCGAACTCTTCAAAAATAACTTATATGGTCTTGAATAGCGTCCCAAATTAATGTGCATTCTAATGTAGTACATAATTTATTGTTGCGATAAACGATATACAGTCGATAAGTGCAATGATATAAGTGCACATAATTTGATTGGTCTTGTGATTATTTAATATTATATGGTTTTTTTTCACAGAAAAACCACGCTTAGAGTTTATAAAATATATACACTCTAAGTATAGTTTTGCTATGAAAGAACCCATATGTAGATTATTCTCCATAAATAAATATTCTATAAATGCATTTTTACCGAACAATGTTATTTATTGAAAGTTAACTGTACTGAATTTAGAAAATCTTCTCTTATTTGAAATAACACATGGGCGTATTTGAAATAACGTACAGGTCGGTGCTATTTCACACTCATACAGTAAGATTTATATTATTTTAATGAAAAAGTTTTTTTAAAAAACTATTCAATAGACACAATTTATTCTGTATCCTTTTTATAGATAACTGATTCCTATATAACGAACCTCTATAACGAATTTTAGATACAAGTATCAGAAAAGTTATTGAACAAATAAACTAGTTTTTTTGTAAACTTAATGATGTAAAGGGAAATTAAAGCAATTTTAGTAAGCATGAAAGTTTTTATTTTTGAATATAAAGATGATATGAAGATAATGGTGAACTTTATTTTTTTAAACGTAAAGTATAAAGTTTTTTTAGCGAATTTGAATTATAAGTTTGATATTCACATTAAAAATCAATCTAAGTTATTCTTTAATTGATGAAAATTAAAGAATGACTCGGTCGATTAATAATCAACAAAATCTATAATTGAGAGAAATAATTGCGAGTCAGAAGTCAAAAGTAAAATACAAATTTTACATTGATTACCTTTAAAATCATCTTATGGATGTTACACTATAAAATTTTGATATCGTCTCTTTATTTAAAAATACAGTATTTGGTACTACAGTATTATATTATATGTTAATATTAATGCAGAAATACTTGGTAAATGTATATGTAATGCTCTCAACATCATTAATAGTCGCATTCTGGCAAATTTATGAAATACCCCAAATTTTGAAAATTTTGACTATGTAAACATAGATTTTGGCAAGATTTCCCCGGTTAGGATGTGTTGTTATAATAAATTATATGTCCAACAAAGGTGGGGAAGATGGGTTAGATGCATTATCAGTCTATATCAGAGGTTCAAAGAAAATTTTGGTATTGATTTATTAATATGTAATTTGGTAACTTAAGGTTAATTTTTGATACAAAATATTCAGATTTGGTGACCAAATTTTATAAATTCACTATATAAAATATAAAAGTTTTACTACGCTACTATTTTTATTATTATACTTCTTTATACTGCTATATATTACTCTAAAAACCTTAAAGATAGCTCCCTGAATGTTATTGCAGGACATTAACTGTTTATGTGTTTGATTTTTACACAGATATGAATTTTACTGCATTTAGAGGTATAAACTATAATGTCGAGTCGAATTCACATAAATACCCAAGAGATATAAAGTTTCACAATACTGTAAAATTTTTTATTCAATAAGTATACATATCAAAAAAGGTTTATCTCGACAACCACTTCCCCAACAACTATTTTCCCCGAAAAATATAACCATTTTCCTGATATCCATTTCACTGAAAATCACTTCTCTGGCATAACCATTTTCCCAACAATCACGTCATGTTGGGAGATGATCATGTCGGGGAAATGGTTGTCGAGGAAATGGTTATTGGGAAATTGGTTATGGTGGGGAAATATTTGTCGGGAAAATAGATGTCACCGAAGTGTTTTTAGAGTAATTATCGATAAACTATCAAAAAAAGTTAAAATTTAGATTCATTTCATTCAGATGTAATAAACCAAAATTATTTTGCATGAGATTTTCTAATTCGTTAACAGAATTTTCATCAATATATTTTTTATTGATTTATTATCGCTGGTTTAATATGCTCAGTTTCGTCTTTATTTAATTGCTTCAATAAAATTACTACTGTATAAAAGATATGATCGTCAATAATCCAAGTTTGGATTGTTTTACAAAAACTTTTTTTTTTTAAAAAGCCCGATATATTTTAATATGCGAGAGTTGAATCATTGCTTGTAACACAACACAAAGAAAAGATGGTTAGGCAAACATTTAATCTTGAACTTGTCTTAAATTTACTCAAAGATTAACATTAGCAAGAGAAAGCGATGACATTGTAAAAGATTTAACTTTAGCTTTTCGAACAGATGGAGTTATAAGTATAGAGTTTCTAGCTGCAAAGTGTCGATATAATAAATATTTTATTTATTTTTCAAGTATTGAGATTGAGGATATTCATCTACTTACAGTTAAGAGAGGTGATGAATTAATTTTCAAGGATGAATGAAGCCTTCAACACTTTTTGAAGATGTAATGGAAAGGGTATTCTGATGTTAAACTTAAGTGTAAGTTTATATTAATTTGTTCAGAATCTTATTTCCAATATAACTGTATTTCTTTTTTTTTTTTTTAGCTTGAAAGTGCAATAATCATTGCCTATACATAAAATCCGAAAATTTATAACTTTGAAGACAAATTAGCAATATACCCAGAGTATTATATTAGACCTCAAAATGTTGAAAGCAATTTGACTTTTCATGGTTCAGTTGATTATATTTCTGCTGAAAGAACAGAATTTAGCAATAGTAAGTTGCTAATTAGCGAATTAAATAACCTGCTTTCAAATTTTTCTAACTACTCTTAACTACTTTAGCGGCACTTTAACTCATGAAAAGTTTACCAAATAACTGTATGTTTTGTGCTGCTGAAGCAAAGAAAGGTGAATCATTTGCTCAAGGTGTTGGCGAACTTCTTGGGCAGATTAAGGCGCTACATATAGTATAAGTAAATCAAGTTTAAAAGCTGCTAATAAAATCAATGTTCTTAGATAAATACATAGAGAAAAGTATAGTTTTAAATCCTTTATTGAATATTTTTTCATCAAAATTCTGACATTTTTTTATTCATAATATAGAAAACCCATTAATGGTGTGCTCACAGATGGATTGAGATGGTTGTTCTTTCATTAAGAATAATATTTACCATTATGAATTTAATATAATCTCATATTGGGCATATTACACTACTGGGTTCAAAGTTAAATACCCGTAAACACTCAATATAGTTGCGTAGCAGAATGATAAAATAAAATCTTAAATTTAAATATTATATACAACTAATAAAAATAATTGTCGTGGCTGAAGCTAGAAAATTTAATTATTTTAATATGAAAATTTCAAAAATTTTTTGGGCCTTTTTTTAGAGGGTTTTTTTTTAGAGTTAGGTTAGAGTTTAGGTGTAGTTTTAATAATAAAAGAGTATAAATAGATTATGGTAAGGTATATTTTTAAATCAAGGTCCCTGATTTCTAGCTTCAGCCGTGACAATAATTAAATTTTTTTTTTAAAAAAAATAGAAATGAGCTTTATAATAAATTGATCTTGCTAATACTTAACATTTATTTTATTTGTAGTATATACTGTAGTTAAAATCTATTAGAGAATTATATTGCATTTGTGCTATTAAAATTTAAATACCTAGTACTAGAAACCGGAAACCAGTATAAGTCCGAAGCATAAATTTTAAATAAATATATTAAAAAAACAATAACTTTAAAACTACTACTATATTTATTTAAAATACAGTATACAAATTTCAACTTCTAATAAAAGTTGTAAAGAGGTGTCTTGCAATCAAAATGATAATTAAAACATTAAAATCAAACTAGTAGATCACAAAATATAAGTATTTTTGTATTCATGATTATATGTTTTTTCTTTATATAAATAAGAAAAAACATATAGTCGTGAAAACTAAAATACTTATATTGTGTGATCTACTAGGCTAATTTTAATATTTTAACTGCAATTTTGATTACAAAATATTCATCTACAACTTTATTTATAAACTGAAAAGAAATTGACTAAGCAAAATTTTAAAAATTACAATATTTTTTATAATTTTATTAATAAAATTATAGAAAATATTAAAATTTACAAAATTGTACTAATTAAACCTACCTACATGTTTTAAGTAAACTTGATCTATATATAAAAATACATTATATTAGTATACATTTATATTATTATTTTAAATTTTAAGAGAAAAGATGCTTAATTTTGAATTTTTGATCAAAAATACAAAATTAAGCATCTTTTTTAAAAAATTTAAAATTATAAGGTAAACATATATTGATATGATGTATCTTTATATATAGAACAAGTTTACTTAGAGTATATGGGTAGATTTAAGTAATACAATTTTGTGAATTTTAATATTTTCTATAATTTTATTAATAAAATTATAGAAATATTAAAATCTACAAATGTGTACTAATTAAACTCATCTTTATACTCTAAATAAACTTGTTCTACGCATAAAAATACATCATATCAATATATTTTTATATTATAATTTTAAATTTTAAGAGAAAAAGATGTTTAATTTTAAAATTTTGATCAAAAATTAAAATTAGCATCTTTTCTTTTAAAATTAAAAATTATAATGTAAACTATACTAATATGATGTATTTTTATGTGTAGAACAAGTTTACTTAAAGTATAAAGGTATAATTAGATAGTAAAATTTTGTGAATTGCAATATTTTCCATAATTTTATTGATAAAATTATGGAAAATATTAGAAATCACAAAATTGTACTACTTAAGCCTACTTTCATGTTCTAAGTAAACTTGTTCTACACATAAAAATACATCGTATCAGTATATGTTTACCTTATAATTTTAAA